TGATCCGAACTTGGCCCGTACATGTCTTCCAAAATTCTTGACTTCCGGAGGCTTCGTGTGTCCACATACGAGGGCCGGGGAGAGGGTGGGGGAGGGGATAAAATACACGAAGGGCATTAACTTCAGCGTCTTTCGGGTAGGTGTCCCTATGCCCCTCAATGACATAAAAAAAATATTATGAATAGAATTCATGGGGATGAGTTGCAGGAAGTAAAGTGGTGGAGGTGACACGGTGAGAAGATTGAATTCTCAAGAGAACAAGTTCTGTTCAAATATCTCCATCAGGTCACTCTGAAAATTCATGTCTATAGAGGGAGTCATCTGCAAGAACAAGAAATGCGTCAGTATGGAGAAAATGTAAGACGGGTATCCTAAGCGCTCAAACACGCATGTGATAACACCTACCGCCTGTCGCCGTCTCCGCTCCTGTTCTCGCTTCCTGTCCATCTCCCGCTGATCCATGATTGGCTGTGAGCTCTGGGCAGGAGGCGGAGGTGTAGGAAGAGGGTTTTGCACATGGGGCTGTTGTTGCTGCTGCTGCTGTTGTTGTTGGTGTTGCTGCTGCTGCTGCTCCTGCCTCCTACGAGCCTCTTCATGCACTTTTCTTGCCTGATCTTGAGCATCATCATCTTCTCGAGACCTAAATGTGTGCAGCAAACACGACCATACATAAGACCAGACGGTTTGTAATGGAAAGCATCTTTAAAAGGAGAACAATGGGCAACTATGGGGAGGGTGAAATTATTATTATTATACAGGATTTATATAGCGCCAACAGTTTGCGCAGCGCTGTACAATATAAGGAAGACATTACAATCACAATACAAACCAAGACAAGATGGTAAGGAGGGCCCTGCCCCTGAGAGCTTACAATCTAAAAGAATACACTCATCCCTATAATACAAGAGGATGTGTGACACTGCAGCTGCCACGTGTTGGCTCTATGGATCGAGTACTGAGCCATCACAAATCGCTGAGCTCATGATCTTCTCCATGCAGAGAGCCATGATCTTCTCCATGCAGAGAGCGGTGCCGGTCAGTCACCGCTCCCCACAGGGATTACTCTCTCCGATCCTCCAGCGCTGACTGGACGGACAGACGGGAGGGGGCGGGCACAGCTGGCTCTAGAGAGGCAGAACCAGCCATCAATCAGGCAGCAGGGTGGATCCTGCCTTGGCTCTGCACTATTGCCCGCTATATGCCGAGTCTTGGGGGTCATAGGAGGACATTAGTGTGTCCTGTGACCCAAAAGAGAACACCAACAGGATTGGGACACGGTTCTTTTAATTGGCATGAAACACGGGTCTACACCAGCACACACAATGGACTATTTGCTAAGCACACGTGTTGATAACTGTTGAGTGCGAGTACTTTTTGCTTTCTTGCTCCCTCTGGATGAAGGAGAAGTGTCACAAGGTTGCAATGCTCTGCAGGCTCAAATACAACAAAATAAAAATAAACAAATTGCATATATTTCTCTTTCATTAATGTTTGTGCATTTGTTATTTTGTATTCAGAAAGTGGACGAGGCCTATAGTTAGGATTGGAAACTCAGCCTGACACTCCTTTAAACCACGTGCTGACCGCGGTGTTACTCCCCCTTCCTGTCCCGGCCATTTTTCAGTATTCAGCGCTGCTGTACTTTGACATTTTCCCATCATGCAACGCTGTACTGAAATGGATTTTATACCATTGTTTTAGGGACAGATGGAGCTTTCTTTTGGTCGTATTTAATCGCCACTGCGGGTTTTATTTTTTTACTATATTAAGGAAAAAGTCAATAGGATGTGACAGGTCCTCTGTATGGTCTACAAGACCCCTAATGTCACCTGGGGACCCCCAAAGAAGACCTGCTTCATCAGCTTCTCTCCAGCTTCTGAAGCCGGTGAGTGACACGAGAATGCGGAAGTGATGCAATATGAATCACTTCTGCATTCTGACAGTGGAGAGGGGACCGCAGGGAGACTGTGTACCGACCTCCCTCTGATCCCCTGTCACAGAGCCACCATGCTGGTCCCGGGCTCGCACTGGGCACTGCAGAGCTCGGGACCAGCGGGAGGGGGGGGAGGGGGTGCACATACCGGCACGTTATACAAGCTTGTATGTAAACCGGCATCGCTGCCTGTTTTAAATTCGGGCACGCGTGGCTGAACGGACGTTTAAAAAGCGCCCGCTCAGATCCAGCGAGGCGGATAAGACATTTTCAGTATACATTGTGCGGATTTAATGCATCGCCAACTGTTAGAAAATGAAATACCCCAAACTACCGCTCTGCAGATGCTGAATGACTGAATACGGGGGGTACCAATAGACTAAAAATAGTGTGTACGAGGACGCAGTCACATTTTAAAAACACAACATTTTAAAATAGAAGAATGTGATTTTTGTCCCATCTACAGTGTTCTTCGTTGCAAGTTGCAGCTAAAAATAGGTGCATTCCCTCTTTTGAAAGTTTCCATGGTAACGTGAATTTCTAACTGCTTTGCTATTGGCTGTCAAGGCCGAGAGTAAACCGAGGCAACCAGCAGATATTTCAGTCGCCCAATCACACATTTATGGAGCAGACATTCGGTGAATGGGAAACCTGAAGCCACGAGGAACATTTATCGATTTGTCAATCTTGTATTTGGACAATATTTGGCTTTTCGGAGTTCAGCTTGAAACAAAAATGTCAAATAGGACTGAAATGTACCAAACAGAAGTACCGACACAGCATTAGGAAGTACGTTGCCGGAATGATGTGGAACCTTCCAAATAGAAGGCAGTAAAAAGATTTTTATTTCTGAACAAAATCGGAGATGCAGCAAGCCAGGCCTAGCAGTACGCTGCACCAACCTTACCGGTAAGGCCTCATTCACACAGCCAAGAGCCGATCCGTACAGATCCATGCGGCGTGCACGGCCGTATCGGGCGGTCCCGGGAGGGACAGGTGCTGCGTGTGATTGTACGCAGCAGCCTGTTCTTCTCCATGGGAGTATGCGGCCGTACACTCGACCGAGCCGCACATCCGTGTGGATGCGGGTGTCCACACTCCTATGCAGACAGGATGGATCCTGTCTGCGTCCGAGCACAGACACTGGCACGGATGTGCAGTTCAGGTGAGCGTACGGTCGTGTCCTCTCATAGGGAAGAACAGGCTGCGGCGTACAATCACACATAGCACCTGTCCTTCCCGGGACCGGCCCCATACGGCCGTGCACGCCGCATGGATCTGTACAGACCGGCTCTTGGCTGTGAGAATGAGGACTAAATGAAATCTAAAATCACATTCCACCCGTTGCTTCCTCTGCCATAATAAAAGGAGACATACAAGTTCAATGATCATGTGTAACCAATCACATGGTGGTTCTCTCCGGTTCATTTGTACCAAACACTCACCTCATCCTCTCCTGCTCCCTTCGCATCCTTTCTGCTTGCTCTGCCTGCAGTTTGAGCGACCGCTCCCGCTCCTCCTTCTCTCGAGCCGCACGTCTGAAAAGCTCAAAGCTATCGCTGGAGGACTTCCCCGGAGCAGTTGGAGTAATCGGCGTCTTCTGTACAAGGCTTGCCCAAGAGCCCATGTTTTTAATTTTTAGGTCCTGGGGAGGAACGGTCAAATAATCATCAGTTCATGTACGAGGTTTTTATAACGACCTTCCAGGCTCAATTCACAAAGCCCAACACAAGGATATGGATTCAACATTCATTATTCGTATTTATATAATGCTCTCCTGTACTGAAATTGCTTCCTCCATCCAGCATCATATAGCTCTTTCCTCCCCAACCTGTCTCTGGCCCACCCCTTCCATTCACTGGATTTACTTCCTTCAAACATGGAGGTTCAGCATCCCATGTGGGCGTTACCACAGCTCCTGTTTTCAGGAATCTAAGAACAGCACCTTTCCACCAGACATGGTCTGCCAGCATTGCATAGAGAAGCTCAACAACCCAGTGATGTCACTGAGTCTGAAATAAGAAAATAAGGTATGTCATGAAAACAAAAAGGTTTTATTTAATCCTTTCATCAGCATGCTGATGAGGGAGAAAAGGAGGAATCAGCGAAGGCAAAACATAAGCAGATGCCATTTCAGACTGAAGCTTCCCTGTGGGTACTAGCGCTGCGATATTCGTCAATGACAAGTTTGATTGGTGAGGAAAGTGCTTGCAGTGTAACCACAACACAAGAAAATATGAATAAGGAACTCACCCAGATATGTTTTAATTACAATGACATCAATATCTCACCTTTTTGGGGGCTACAGGTGTCTTCGGTTCCTGCTTTAGCTTCTCTTTCTCAGGTACCCCTTGAGAAATGATGCCTTCAGGGGGTCTCACTGGGCGACTTCCATCAATGGGTTTCATTTCTGGCCCTAGAGGGGGAAAAAAAACACGAATAAAAAAGGTATGCCAGTTATATAAAAGGGTGAATTACAAGAAGTTGAAGCCCTTCAATAGTTTCCTGCATATCATGACTACCGGAAAGTAGGGATGCACCGATACCAGGTACCATACTCGGTACAAGTACTGATACTTTTCCAGCTCCAAGACTACACTAGAGAAAAAGACAACAATTAGGAGGCCGCTGTCATGTGTAAGGAGCACACGGAGCTCCTGGGATTTGTACATCTCTGTTTTATTGTCTGATTTGTTTTTATAAACATATAAAGGGATTCACCGATACCAGTTTTACAAATACTGATACTTTTCCAAATCCTCACAGATACGAGTACCGATACTCATCCAAGTACTCACAGATACAAGTACCGATACTCACCCAAATCCTCCCAGATACAAGTACCGATACTCATCCAAGTCCTCACAGATACGAGTACTGATACTCACCCAAGTCCTCACAGATACGAGCACTGATACATTTTTGTTTACTGTCATGTGACAGTTTTTCTAAAACAATACAGACTAATGATTTCAGGACAGTGGTGGAGTGCCAGAGCCAGGTCCCAGCTGCAACCTCCGCAACCCTGGTAGTTCTCATGAAAATGCCAAGTATCGGCACTGGTATCGGTGCATCCCTACCGGAAAGCTTGGGTTGTGGAAGAGCTGCAATTTCAGAGCTGCTGTCAACGCCGGGGAGGACAATGTGTCGAGGATTAAGGAGTTCCCAGGGCGCACACACAACTATTACCAGGTGTGGTGCCTGAACTTCAGTAAACCAGTAAATAGCAATTTACAAACAAAATTGAGAAAATGTAGCGAGCAGACTGACATCTCCAATTTGAAGTCACGAGTTCATAAGCTGGGACTCCAACTCCCTGATTTTGGACTCCATGGCTGTTCAACGTGAATACATATCTTGCAGTGTTGCCAAAAATTGACGTAATGGCAAAAGGCAGTTGAGTAGATGCGGATCTTTACACACGGAGGTTTTCAATGCCAAATGTATAAATCAGTGGCCACACCACCACGACACACAAAATAAAAAGAAGATATCAGGCTACCTGATCATTTTTACGATACGTGCAATTGTAACAAGGAAGGCAACCTTGCGGAATATCCGATTGCTTCAAAGGGCGGGGAATGTACAGAGGAATAATGAGAGGGACACCATGTGGGAAGGCTTTCACTGAATGAGAGGCAAGCGGTATTTGAAAAAGAATTGCTTAGGGCCGAGATTAATCCCTTGGTGGTACTCGAGGCCAAAATGTGGATCCAGAACAGACTGGAGAAAAGACTGGAGGCAGAATTTCCTTGCCTTGCACCTTGAGAAACATGCTTTCCAGGTGCCGTTAGATGTCCACATAGGTCAGAAGTCACCCGGATGGAGGGAAGCCATGGCTGAGATGGTAGATTCCATGCAGAATATTTGTACCTGAAGGAACAAGTGTTGAGAACCTTTAGATCCAGAAAGAGGTGGATGACCCCTTTTACTTTGGGAACCCTGGAACGCCTGCCATGACTGCTCGAGAGAGAGAGAAGCTGTGCCAGTGCAGCGTGGAGGTCCACCAGTCTTTCGGTGGGAACGATGGCAGGTTTGACGACACCCAACTAAGAAGTGCGGGTGCCTCATAACCATGAGGAGGACTTGCGTGCGGGTTTGGAGGATTGGAGTCCGTGATTTACAGCAGAAACATGTCCCAGGTCTAGTCTTGGGACGACTGGGAGAAATTAAAGCAACCCTAGTTTCTTAGGCAGAGGGTTTTGCAGATTGAGGCGTTGCCTTCTTTTGCGAGGGGGCAAAGTGGTGCCCCCCCCCGTTTCACCCTCAGCTGACCGTGGAGAAGTAGTTACAGAGAAATCAGAGATGGACTCTGGAGAAGGCGAGGGTGCACAATTTAGGCCCTGCATTCTCAGTCATCTAACATGGCTGAAATGTTCCCATTACCTCACAGCAGCATAGATTCCTTGCCTGGATAATAAAGAGGAGGGAGTGAAGGAGAACTCCGAGGAGCATTGTGACTCAGGCAGCAAACATTGGCCCATGCAGATGGCGTCAGGTGCTTTTGGAGGTACATTGCATGTGCGGTTTTACTTCCTCACCATCACAAGCTGCTGCATTAGGCTGACTTCACTGGCAGGCTCAACAAGTAGTTGTGGGGCTTTGCAAGTGCTAATGGACTTAAGCGCTGAAGCACATTTTATTTTAATTGAATGCAATAATGATACTTTATGTAAAACGCAACTCACGTGGCTGAACATGGCTGGAACCTTTTAGTGATTCGGGAAGTTTGTGGGGTTCAACCCTCATGCCAGGAGAAAAGCCTTCTGGACGCATAGATGGCGAATGGCGCTTTTCCTCCTTCACGACCAGCGGCTGAGGCTGCAACACTGATGATCCTCTCATTTCCTGCGGAGCGGACAAGTGTGTTAAACAACTAAAGATTCCCAATCAAGGTTCTTCTTTACCGAAAACTTCTAGTGAGAGAAAAACAATCGGCTGTCGCCCCTTCTTAAAGGAGAACTATGGGGTTAAGGCTTTTCCCCATAGTTCTCATTAGGGTAACGGGAGGACACAAACTAGCGTCCTCCCGTCACCCTAGGCTCAGTATACCGCGAGCTGTAGCTCCGCTGAAGCGGATCCCGACAATTGTGCCGGGATCCACCCAGCTGCGTGAGTGACAGCTGGCTCTGCCTATCTAGAGGCAGAGCCAGCTGTACCCGCCCCCTCCCTCGTCCGTTCCACCAGTCAGCGCTGGCGGATTGGAGCGGGGAATCCAGCCCCTCCCCTGTCACGGCAGAGAGCCGTGACAGGATCGAGAGGTGAGCGAACCCCGGTATGTGTTCACTCACCTCCCGATCTACTGAGCCGACCTGTGACCTGTGTAAGAGATCGGCTAGAACTATGAGGTGAGTGGAAAGCACCCACCTCATAGTTCTCCTTTAAAATCTTAGTTGCCGAGCTATCACACTGATGTCAGTCAAGGACCTGAGAATAAAAATTATAGGAACTGAAATCAGAAGTCCACAAGCTTCAGGTGATGAAGCACTCAAGCCAGAGAATCAGCATGACAGCAAGGCAACTAAAGGTACAAGTAGTATAGGACACCAATAGAAGGCATACAGCTTTCCTGCAACACTGCTAAGAGGCAGAGTTCATGTGATGCAGCATTGTATACAGAACACAGAATGTGGCATTTGTATTCATCTGCCGGCACAGCCAAGGGGCACTGTCGGCAACTACTAGGCAAGGGCTGAGGGAGATCAACGTGTTATCCTGTTTTAGGGTGGCTCCTTTCCTTTGCAGGGTCCCATGGAGGCACCCTCTTGTGTGCTAGTAAGCTGTGTCTCTCCACATACAGACATAGCGAGGCAAGACAATTGCCTGCTCTCCGCTCCTCCAAGCTAGTAGATGGACAGATGCTGGGGACTGTGCTGCCCCTTGTGATCTTGTACTGGGCAGAAAGTTTAGGGAAGTGGAGCTGAGAGTAGGAGCTGTTCTGAAACATGACTAAGAGCTTGGACAAAAATTTAAAGAATTACTTTGCTGGGAAATGAATATTGGTTTATGCAGATTCAGATTATTGAAGGGGAAAAAATAATAATTTAATCCTACTTTAAATTGTCTGCAGCTATTAGCTCCGAGTAGAATACGTTCACTCGAGTCCCAGTGGTGCATGCAATACAGTAGAAGCGTGAAGACATTACTAGCCGCACAGTACTCCAAGCATGTGGAAAAGTGATCAATAATAAATGCTTCATGGAGCTTACACCACAGGCAGCCAATTGTTCAATCGGGTATTAACACAGTTTAGTAGCACAGCCAACGTACTAAAGATCGCCTGTCGTGCTCGGGTCAATGGTCAAGGGCAGTGGTCTGTACCTGCTTTTTAGACTGTACGGCCTGCGGTGACGAAGGATGTGGAAGGCCTGCAAATGGAGGAACCTGAGGTGAATGAAGGAGGAGAGGAGATGGGGCCTCCCGCAAGTGACCTAGACAAAAACAAACAACAAAAATAATGCACAGTGAAGACAACTTAATCAATACCCACTCCAATATACAGAACGCCAGGGGTCCCCAAAACTTTATAAGCAAAGGTAGAGTTCACTGTCCTTTAGGGGGGGGCAGACAGGGGCCAATCGAAGCAAATATGCCCCAGTTGGTGGAATAGAGCCCCATCATTGGCGTCTATGGGAAGAATGGTGCCCCGTCATTGGTGTCTATGGGAAGAATGGTGCCCCGTCATTGGCGTCTATGGGAAGAATGGTGCCCCGTCATTGGCGTCTAGGGGAAGAATGGTGCCCCGTCATTGGCGTCTAGGGGAAGAATGGTGCCCCGTCATTGGCGTCTAGGGGAAGAATGGTGCCCTGTCATTGGCGTCTAGGGGAAGAATGGTGCCCCGTCATTGGTGTCTATGGGAAGAATGGTGCCCAGTCATTGGTGTCTACGGGAAGAATGGTGCCCAGTCATTGGTGTCTATGGGAAGAATGGTGCCCCGTCATTGGTGTCTATTGGAGGAATGGTGCCCAGTCAATGGCGTCTATGGGAAGAATGGTGCCCCGTCATTGGCGTCTATTGGAGGAATGGTGCCCCGTCATTGGCGTCTATGGGAAGAATGGTGCCCCGTCATTGGTGTCCCCCGTCAATGGCGTCTATGGGAAGAATGGTGCCCCGTCAATGGCGTCTATGGGAAGAATGGTGCCCCGTCATTGGTGTCTAAGGGAAGAATAATGCCTAATCGGTGTCTGGGAAAGGAGTTGTGTCCCCAAAAGGCCAGTTCATCGCAAAGGGCTACAAGTTGGGTAACTTCCCGCATTTCATATACTACACAGACATAAAATTTTCACATGAATATACCACTTACCTCCAGAGTATGGCTCTGGTTTCTGCTGCCGTGGTGAGGGATGGTGGTGTTGGATTACTTGCTGCGGCTTAGACTGCTGGTGCTGCACAAGCTGTGGGTGGGGAGCCGTTATTGTAGTTTGCAGAGCTGGATGCGGCTGCTGGGGAGGTGGTGGTGGTGGTGGAGCCTGCACTGCTGGCTGCTGTTGGGAAGCTGTAGGCGGTGTCTGCAACTGGTGCACGTGGGATAAAGTGGGAGCAGGGGGGGGGGCAGTGCTAGCAGAGGAAGGAGAAGGGTAAGGCAGGTTCTGCAGGTGCCGCATAGACTGAGAAGAAACAGTCAATGGTGCTTGGTTCTGCAATTTGACAGAAGGGAGGAGCTGTTGAAGAGGAGATTGCAGAGTAGGCTGTTGGGATTTCTGCAACTGCTGCAGGTAAAGGGCCATCTGCACAGGACCAAGCTGAACAGGAGAAGGAGGGAGACTACTAACAGGGGAAGGTGGGCCATCATCTTCTAGCAGGGCATGGGGAGGCTGTAAATGATGATGCAGAGCATGAGGAGGTGGTGGGAGATGCGCTTGTACTGGATGTACTGGGGGTGGTGAGGAAGATGAAGGCCGCCCAGGTTTAGCAGGAAGGGCGGCTGCACGATTTGATGGGCGGGAAGGTTGCTGCGGCATGGCGTTATGCAGAGCTGTAAGAGAGAAGATTATGTTAATAGGAGATACACCAGCAGGTAATCAAGCAGAATTATTGACAATTAGTCCGGATTTGTCTTATATCCCTCCATACTCCATTATAAATAAAAGAGACTTACCTGGAGGACTAACAAGGGCATGTTGGTTGAGATGAGGTGGAGAACATCGCTCTGGCGGACCACCTGTGAGGTGTGATGGAAGATCAGGTGGTGGTAGGTGCAGACCTGCCTGCCCATAGTGAGCATTAACAGCCTCAAAGACATTAGCAGGATGAAGAGGATGATGAAGAGATGGGAGAGAAGTGTCCAAGCTGGGAGGGGGGACATAGGAGGGTGGAGGAGTTGGGGAAGATGGTTTATGGACATTAGGCGGTGGGGCAAGAGGCTGAGGATGGGATTGATGGTGATGCTGTAAGGAGACAGAAAAGAAAGTCAGAATAAAAAAGGTTCATTACAAAGTCTGAGTTTACAAGTAATTCGAAACTCTAAAAAAAAAAAATCTGATTCCTTCAAGTTTTTCAGCAAAATTGGGATAACATTATTATTTTATATTTGCTACCGGTTTCTGACATGACCACGGTTTCTCTCCAGCAGCACCTACAAGGTCAGACCTGAGGGGCCTTTAGAACCTGCACCTAGTCAAGGGGTGCGTTATCACTAGGGATGCACCGATATCGGTACTCGGTACCGAAAAGCCAGTATTCAGTGCTTCCACTGGCATGGAACCGGCTCCATGCTGTCTGGCTGGCTTGATTGTGCTGGGAAGGGAAACTGGTTCCCAGCCAAATCAGCATCGAGCCGGCTTCGCGGCCAATCAGGAAGCCAGGCGGCGAATAATAACCCACCTCCCAGATTGGCCAGAAAGACGGCACGGTGCTGACTGGCTGGAAAGCCGGCTTCCCGGCCAAATCAGCATCGAGACGGCTTCCTGACCAATCAGGAAGCCGGGAGGAGGCGGGTCATTACTCGCCGCCCAGCTTCCTGACCACACGGGAAGCTGGCTTCATGTTCCCCTACGGCCCTGCCGGTCAAAGGAAATCTTCCTCTGACTGGGAGTTCCAGTGTCGGGGAAGGTATCAGAGCATTTGGGCGAATACAAGTACTCGTCGAAATACTCGGTATCGGTGCATCCCTAGTTATGCTGAAGGTGCCTTTGCACAACCCTATGCCCTTCTGAACAGTGTTCTGACTGGCAGCCTCCCCTCAAGAATCCCTGTTATTCAAGCACTGCTGAACGCTGCAGGGGGCATAGACCTGGGCTGACCATAGGTAAGCTGTCAGACGTACTGTGTGTAAGCACGGCTGCCTGTACTATCATAACAGGAGTGCATGCAAGGGTGACCACGCTAATGCTAAATGAAGCTAGCACTGACACCCTATCACAGGAAGCCCAAAAAGGCACAATAGATGGGTAGGACCAGCAGGTAATTACTATGGCCCTAGTGCTAGCTAAGAGAAGAGGCCTGCAGTACTAGATCACTTACATCAGGTGCTATAATAAATCATCAGATACCTAGATAGTAACTCAGCATCCTCCAGAGTGGAGTTCCAATGTCCAAAATGTTATGGCAGAGAAAAGGATTCAGGAATTCTAACACAAAGCATTAGAAAAAGACGCATACAAAGTTCAAGCTGACATTCCTACCTTTCTAGACTCTCTCCCTGAGTGACTCTTTTTCTTCTGTTTGTGTGTTGTTTCTGGAAAGGAAAGAGAAATGGCATCAGGGACACATCACTGCCTGAGGGTTCAGCTCCCAACGTCACGTGACCTTATGTGCATTATCCTGAACGATCGGAGATTGTGCTACCTGGGTCTGACTCCTCGCTGTCTGACGTGCTGGATTCACTTGAACTTTCAGACTCAGAAGAGGAGAAGCCTTTCCCCTTACCGGAACCAGATGTGGGCGCTTCAACTTTATCTGTAAAAGGAGACAGAATAATTAGCAACTGCAAAAATACAAACAAAAGATTCTACTGCTGAATCGGTATACCCAATACATTGGACTAAAGTGACACTAAACTCAGGAGTTAAATCTTAAAAATACATTCAATACCTTAACTATTAAAAACAATGGGGGAATTTATCAAAACTGTAGCAGAGACAATCTGGAGCAGCTGTGCATGGTAACCAATCAGCTTCTCTGTTTCATTTTCAAATTTTACCTGGGCAAACTGGAGAGAAGCTGATTGGTTGCCATGGGCAACTGCTCTGAATTCTGACTGCTCTGGTTTTTATAAATTCCCTCCAATGTATCTTATTTGTGTATCACTCAAATGCTCTCTGAATTGGTGCTGACACTGTCCTTCCTTCTGGAGGGGGGCTACTATTGTTCCCCATGGTCCCTGTGTGTGTTGTAAAGTAGTCACCGCTCCAAGCTCACTCCCGGGAAGGACTACAATCTCAATTCAAATCAGTCAACTAAACGGGAGATTGTAGTCCATCACAGGAGTGAGCTTGGAGTTCATTAGAACATGTGACATGTACTCATTTTCTGCGTTTAGCACGTCCAGGGACCCCAATGGACACGCGCGCCAAACAGTCCTGCAAAACGTGCAAGAACGCACGTGCCCTGCATGAGCAGCACACTTCATTATGGTACACTTACCCTCTAGTTGGCCCTACTTTAGGAACACGCTCACCCCTCAATCGCTCTGTCCTTGACTGCTGACATCCTCCCCTCATTGAGCAGCATCCAATTATCAATCTCTTGCACCCGTGTGCACTGGTTACCTTCCTCCTGGTATCCTACAGTTGCTGGGAATGTACACTGCGCATGGGCCGCAGTATTTTGGCAGTTGTGACTTACCCACCAAAAAATCTGCACTAGCAAACTCATTCTCTATTTTTAACTTGCGCCCCACTTTATCCCTGTCGCTGGAATCCACACGTTTGGCCAAAGACGACTTAAAGCCCACAAAATATTAATATTCTCAGAAAGTGCTACAAATTTGTTTAGCGCCAATAGCGAATGACGGCCCCGGAAATACTGCTCTGGCATGCAATGTGCATCATATCATCATATGCGTGTATATGGGAACAGAGAGGTGCTGGCAGATCTCATGATCAGTTGTAAGCTAGATTTGAACACTGTCTGTCCTAACAAATGGGTTATAATTAGGGCTGGTAATGATTAAAATGTTCGTGTTCGATTAATCTAAATTTTTTTTAATCGATTAATTTCAATTATAACGCACATACAGATCCAACTACATTGGCCTATACACATACAGCACAGCAATGAAGTAATACAATGAACTAGGATCACACTAATCCAGCACGTTATTAATCTCACGTGCCCCACTCAATATGGCCGCCGCTTGAGTGGGGCAACTCAGAATAATAACGTGCTGGATTAGTGTGATCCTAGTTCATTTTATTACTTCATTGCTGTGCTGTATGTGTATAGGCCAATGCCTTGGCTGGAGCTCATGCAGAAAGTTTCTTGGGCAAACTCGCCGGCCCAAGTGGCTCCGTCGCCTAACGACGAACATCAACGTCACCGGACTCCTCCCCCTTCCCTTCGTTAGCCGACGGAGCCACTTGGGGAAGGGAGAGGAGTCCGGTGATGTCGATGTCCGTGACGTCACTGGATCGCTGACGGGACTCCCGGAAGCCGGCTGAGTGTTTTCATTAGCGATCAAAATAATTTGAATCGTTCAAAAAGTTTAACGATTAAATCGAGAAATTAATCTTTAATTTCCAAAGCCCTACAAGACGCCTGCCTTCTGCATTGTATGTCCACTCACTTTGAAATTGTTCCGAGTAGCTTGCAGCCTGCCCAAAGGCCTGTTCCAAAGAAACATCTGAAAGGTAAGACATAAAAAAAAGAAGTAATTTTCAGGTATGCTGCGTTAATAGGAACACAAACATATAGGAACTCTCAAAAAACAAAAAGTGGAAATACACAAATACACTTTAACCATTTGATGACCGCAGTGTTACATCCCCTTCCTGTCCCGGCCATTTCTCAGTATGCTGTACTTTGACATTTATTCCGTCATGCAACACTGTACTGAAACAAAATTCATATAATTTTTTGGGGACAGATAGAGCTTTCGTTTGGTGGTATTTATTCACCACTGGGGGGGGCGTTATTTTTTACTATATAATGAAAAAAAGATTTTGAAACTCCCCCCGTTTTCCCTACATTATGTTGTAAAACATTTATCAGCACCCAATTTGTTGGTAAAATATAAAAGACGGGGTCGCACTCAGAGCCGCTGCTCCATCAATAAGGGGGGGGGGGTGCAGCAGGTGTAAACGAGTGGCTTGCGTCAAAATATCGGTAAAGGATGGTCATCGGCACTCCAAAGTAATACATTTAGTACATTTTTTATAAATACGTACTGGACTTGCTTTGGAGTGCCAGTGACCATCCTTTGCCGATACATAGGGTAAATAGACACCAAACATCTCAAGCTTTAAAATTACATGCGCCTGCAAAAATCGCAAAAAAACTACCATGCCTAAAATTGACCTTAGGAGACGCTTTAAAAGCTTTTAAACGCTCATCAGTTTAGTGTTATCAGTGATTGATGGCCCTAAAATTATTGCTCTTACGCCGACGTTCACGAGCGCATGTAAGCGCACCCAACGCGTATTAACATTTATAAGTGCGTGCATGCAGTGGCCTTAAAACTTTTTTGGGTGCCATTTTTTAACATGAGGACTTTCATTTTTATTTTTTTTCACTTAACTTGATTGCCATCACATAGGGGGCTAAAAATCCCCCAATGTGAGAGCCAATATACAATGACAGGGCCTCTTTATGGAGACATCATAAGACCCCTAATGCCACCTTGGGACCCCCAAAGAAGCTGAGGAAGCAGAGATCTGCTTCACCAGCTTCTTCTCTGGCCAGAGAAATGACAGCTAAAGGCGGAAGTGATGTAATAGACATCGCTTCCGCCTTTAGAGAGAGAGGCGGAGAGATCAGCGATGGGGGAAAGCCGATCTCTCCTCCTCAGTAAAGAGAGCCGGTGTTCACGGTCCCAGGCCCATAAGAGGGAGGGGGACAACGGTGCCAGGGATAAACCAGCAGCAGAAGGGGTGGCAGCAGGTGGGGCTGCACTGTGTATAGTCATACAAGCGATCGGCCCACTTGTATGTAACAGCTGTTCACATTCCCCGGCGGGATTTTGGGGGCACACGCGAGCAAAAAAAAACCCAGAATCACATACATGTACGGCCACCCGCTGGGAAGCATCCACCGTCTGCCCGTTTTTCTACAATGGGTGGACCGGCAAGGGTTTAAAAAGACATCAGGGGTCTATTTAGAGCCCTAATGGCACATCTGTGTTCTGTTAAAGCTGATCAGAATGGGGTGGTATCTTACATCACATGTAGAAGTGATCAGGCAACTTTATAAACGGGCCAAATTACTTGTAAATAGACGACCAGCTACTATAGCAGGCAGGAGTTTGTTTATATGCCAGCACGGCCACCATCGCAATCGTTGTGACCACGCCAGAAGGGTTCATGCTTACAGTAATCACCATGCACTCCGCAATGCCACCAAGTTCCAGTCTTAAGTCTCACCTTGAGGTTTCCTTTTCTTTCTTAGGCAAGATGTGACATATCTCTCCAGCTCTCTCAGTGTGGACGGTTTGAGAGTCTCAAAGTCTATTTCAATCTCGTCTGGGTTAGAGTTTTTCAGAGATGGCTCCCGGGACTGGATGATGTGCACTACTCTTCCCAGCTTTTCTCCCGGGAGTTTATTAATGTCCAGACTTAATTGTCTCTTTTCCTCATAAGACATCGGTCGACATCTCTGGGATTCCTCCTCTGAAGACTCACAAGGTGCAGGTGGAGGTGCAGGTCGTGCCGGGCGTGACACCGGGGGAACCACTTCTTTTTTAATGCTGGTAAAATCAGGGCAAAAGAGGTAAAGAGTTACTCTCGGGTCATAAATCAGATGGCAAAGACTGAGGCTGGGCAAAATCTGTAACAAAGTGTTCCAAATGACTAAGGCTCAGGTTCTGTCACCTTAATCTTGGCTTCATTACCCAACCAGCATGCCCTGTGTGTTTACTGCAGGTCAGAAACTCTCCAGGCAGTAAAGCTAGGATTAGGATGACAGCCCCAAGATGCCCATACACTTTAATAATCTTCTTCATTCAACCCACGGGCTGAACGAAGAGAATATAACCGGTTCCTTTATCTTATGAGCATTGATCGAGGAATCTCCTGCTGTCTTCAATGTATTCTGTCAGTGGCTGTTGTCAGAATACCCGAAACAGGGCGCAGCTCATTGGCTGCCTGCGTTGTCCGTTCAAAGATTTTCCAACCGGCTCCTTCGTTCAGCAGATTGATGGATGCTGGCTGAAAGGGTGCCGACAGCAGAATCCACAGTGCAAATTTGCATTCAAATTCACATAGTGTATGCCACTGTCTATGACTTTCGGTCAGCGTCCCTGAAGCAGCTGATCGAAGGAGCAGGATGGAAAAATTGTCAAATGAACAGAGCGGCCAGCCAATGAGCTCTGTTCAGGTATTTTGACAGCGGCCGCTGTCAGACCACAATGCAATTAACGCTTGTAAGCGTTGGAGGAATCTAATATTCAGTACTGTGCAAAAGTTTTAGGCAGGTGTGATAAAATGCTGTAAAGTAAGAAAAGAGAGAGAGGGGGAGAGAGAGAGAGGGGGAGAGAGAGATTATTTTTTTTTCCAATTAAACCTACAAAATGCAAAGTGAGTGAACAGTATAAAAATCTAAACCAAAATCAATAGAACCCTTTGGCTTCGAATCAGCATCAATACTTACACTTGCACAGAGTCAGGGATTTTGTAGGATTAGAGTCAAGATGTATGATTAACCAATTATACCGAGCAATTGCTAATGATCATCAATTTCATATGTAGGTTGAAACACAGTCACAGAAACAGCTGTGTAGGAGACTTAAAACTGGCCGAGGAATATCCAAACTCTGCTACTAAGGTGAGGTTGTAGAAGACAGTTTCATGTCACAGGTCGTACACCATGGCAAGACTGAGCACAGCAACAAGACAAAAGGTACTTATACTGCATCTGCAAGGTCTCTCCCAGGCAAAGGTTTCAAAGCAGACCGGGGATTCAAGATGTGTTGTTCAAGCTCTTTTGAAGAAGCACAAAGAAACGGGCAACGTTGAGGATCATAGACGCAGTGGTTGGCCAAGGAAACAATGCAGCAGATGAAAGACACATCATGCTTATTTCCCTTTTACATTGGAAGAGGTCCAGCAGTGCCATCAGCACCGAACTGGCGGAAACCAGGTATATCCATCTACTGTCTGGAGAAGTCTGGCCAGAAGTGGTCTTCATGGAAAAATTGCGGCCAAAAAGTTATAGCTCCAAGGCTAAGCGACTCAACTACGTACGAAAACATAGGAACAGGGGTGCAGGAAAATGGCAGCAGGTGCTCTGGACTGATAAGTCAAAATGTGAAATATTTGGCTGTAGCAGGAGGCAGTTTGTTCACCGAAAAGCTGGAGAGCGGTACAATAATGAGTGTACTGCACCAACAGTGAAGCATGTTGGAGGCTCTTGCAAGACTGAGGCTGCATTTCTGCCAATGGAGTTGGAGATTTGGTTAGGTTCAATGGTGTCCTCAATGCTGAGAAATATAAGCAGATACTTATCCATCATGCCATACCACCATGGAGGTGTGCGATTGGCACCAAATTTACTTTGCAGCAGGACAACAACCCCAATCATACAGCCAATGTCTTTAAGAAATATCTTCAGCGTCAAGCAGAACAAGGAGTCCTGGAAGGGATGGTTTGGCCCCCCACAGAACCCTGATCTCACCATCATGGAGTCTGTCTGGGATTACATGGAGACAGAAGAATTTGAGGCAGCCGACATCCACAGAAGATCTGTGCTTAGTTCTCCAAGATCTTTGGAACAACCTACCTGTCGAGCTCCTTCAAAAACTGTGTGCAAGTGTACCTAGAAGAAGGCAAAGGGTGCTCACGCTAAATATTGACTGGATTTGGATTTCTCTTCTGTTCATTTACTTTCCATTTTGTACGTTGATAAAGAAACAAAAAGAAAACAAAAAGAACTTAACATATCTGAAAGGATTCTCACTTTACGGCATTTTTTTTTCACGCCTGCCTAAAACTTTCACACAGCACTATAAATATGCAATAAGTATGCCATCCTACCTGGGGGTTCCCACGGGTCCTTGAACACTTTTCTTGGGTTTCTTAGCTGGAGGTTCCCGGGATCTGTTCTTGCGAGACTCCTCAACCTCCTCTTTCCTTTTGTGCTTCTCCTTCCGCTTTTCACGTTCCTTCTTCTTTGGTTTGTTTGGCTGAGGCTGAGATAGGGCTGCCAATTGTTCGTGTACAGCTTTTAACTGCAACAAGCAAAAAGTTGCCACACAGACGATTGGTACATTACCCAAACCGTGGTCTCCAGAAAGATATCAGATGCTGTAGGAGATTTGCTTACCTGCTCCTGAAGCTCTGCTAATCTCAGTGCTCGGTCTTCCTCGCTGTCAGAACTGCTCTCGCTGTCAGAAGAACTGTCACTGCTGCTGTCGCTGGAACTGTGAGGAGGGCCTTTGACAGAGGGGGCAGGAGGACACGGGGTTGGGGAGGGTGCAGGAGCCGGCGCCTCTTCTGGTTCATCTGGCATCTTAGCAAATCGCATTTCAAACACGTCCTAAAGAATGCAGAATAAAACCTGATTACATTCTCCTCTCCCATCCATCATGGAGGACATGAAGCCTTCATCTTCAAACTGCAATATATTTAAGAAATTAGCACTGTACTTCTATAAACCATATTTAACCATTTAGATTCAGGACCAATTCTTGTAGGACCCAGTTACTCTAAATCAATAACAAAAATTGAGCTTCACATTCCCACTCTAAGGTTGTATCACTGTCCTAGTACAGCTTGTCGGTAGTAGATTGAGGAAGGCAGAACTACATTTCCCAGGAGTCCCCTTCACCCTCGCATCTAGGCTTCCAGTCCCTAAAACTCTCTCATTTGGGTCTCATTTGGGCCAAGTATACTTAACTAGGAGAAAAAGAAATCCACTGTACAGCAATGATCTCAAAATTATCAAGATGTGTTTTATGCTGCCCCATCTATACCGGTCTCCTCGCCTCCCTATTGGTCAGTGAGGACACCCATGTTGAGACAGGGGTATAGAAAAAAAAAAAAAAAAGAAGGAGCAGAAAAGGTGCCGTCTGGACTATGATCATGACAGATCAAAGTTACTTCTCCCCCAATAAAGCACCCCAGATTTTACAGTTAGCGGGGTGCTTTGCAGAAACACTATGCCCTAGTACACTTGCAGGTTGCTGCCTACACCAACTTCAACCCAAACAGATAAAAATACAGTTTCAATACATACATATATAAACCGTTTTACCTGCCAAAGGATTTGCTGTCCTGTTCAGTCACTCCTGCAAATCAGTCCTAGCCACCCCTGTCATTTATCACTGCGAGATCCTTAAAGTGACACTAAACTCAGGAGTTAAATCTTAAAAATACATTCAGGTACCCCAACTATTAACATAACTGTATCTGATTTGTGCATCACTCAGCTGTAGATCCTCCAATCATCTCTGAATTGGTGCCGACACTGTCCTTCCTTCTGGAGCGGGGCTACTTTTGTTCCCTATGGTCCCTGCGTGTGTTGTAATGTAGTCACCGTTCCAGGGTCGCTCCTGTGATGGACTACAATCTCAATACAAATGTGTAAACTAAATGTCAGATTGTAGTCCATCCCGGGAGCGAGCTTGGAACGGTGACTACATTACAACACACACAGGGACCATGGGGAACAAAAGTAGCCCCCCCTCTAGAAGGAAGGACAGTGTCAGCACCAATTCAGAGATGATTGGAGGATCTACAGCCGAGTGATACACAAATAAGATAAATTTGTATTAATAGTTAAGGTACTTGAATGTATTTTTAAGAATAATTAACACCCGAGTTCAGTATCACCTTTAACCACCACTGTTGCAGCACAGCATAGTGGAAAGCCCATAATAACAGGCATCCCCAATATGCAGGCCCAAACCAACAGCCGATGGTAGCGGAGTGTAAACCCGTCCTGTCACAAGGCAGTACTGCCTATAAATCCTGAGGCTTGCCACAAACCCTATGCGGTTAGGCTTGTCCATAAGACAGACCTAAAAAAGGACACCAGAGACTCTGTGAATAGTTGTTAAACCCCAGCTTGTTACCTGCAGCTTGCGGGCCATAGCCACCACCTCATGGTCTGGAGGGTTGTACTTGTAACAGTTAGAAAACATAAGCCGCACATCAGAGGCAAAGTCCTGGGCATCTCGGTACTCCGTATTCTCCAGCTTCATCTGTAGACAACAGAACACGCTAGCCATTTAAAGATGTTCGGTAAATCTAGCCAACGTATACATCCGCACCAAGTGTCTGGCAGTGATATTGGTGACCTAATCAGTAACAATCTTCAGGGTTACATCAAGAACTGCGGGTCTATCATTTAATACAGATCTCCAGGAAAGAATTAAAAATCGGTGAGACTCGGCTGTTCGGACATCTGATAGCGGAAATACTACTAATCAATGAATATCCCCTAAAACCTGTCACGTCCCGGGCAATTCAAACTGAGCATATGACCTACCTCACCCTAGGGGGAGGATATAGGGAGCTGGGTGATGAGTTCCATATGGGGAATCTGAACTACATTTCCCATGATACCATGGGAATTTATGAGGTGTTGATGTTGCCACCAATCGATGGCTGTGGGAGGGTTGCAACCTGGGAGCTGTGACATCATGCCTGCCCGCAGAAGGCGGCAGTGACGTCATCGCTCTCCATAAGGTAACGTGACCGGGAGGCAGTTTTTATTGAGAAACAGCGGAACTGAGCTGCACACACCGGAAAGAAAAAACAGGGGAAATGAGACTTGCATATAGGAACAGAAAGAAAGACAGACTGGAAAAATAAAGGGAGAGCATTTTGGAACCAAGGTGAAAACGTATCGAATAAGAATTTATTCCCCCTTGCCGGAGTGTAGCTTTATGTTATCGAGTGACAACACAATTCATTCTGTAGAAAAATCGCACAGCAGTGTTGTTGCCCTTTGGACTCCATGGTCATGTACATGTCCTTTTAAATGGACTTACAGTAAAAAGACATTAAAGCCCTGTTTAAGGAAAAGCTTATCAGTTGGAAAAGTTTTTTGGAAATAAGGATTAAAGCGACATTAAAGTCACATTTTTCCCTGCCCCCCCCCCCCGCTTTAAGGACTTCCCTTATAAGATGCCTCTTGATCCAATCATCTTCTGCCTTCCACTTGTATTGAGAAGTCCCTCCAGTGCTGGTGCCGGTTTCTGATCCAGCGCAGACTCCTCAGGTCCCACGGTGTCTGCCCGACGTGCAAGCTCCCAGCTGAGTGCATTCACCTCCGCTGTGTCTCTCCTCTTCCCCACCGAAGAGCTCTACTGCGCATGCCCCATCATTGTGCTCGGCCGCTTGAGAAGCTCCAGATCTTCAGACGGGAGCAAGTGGTTATGACAAAAAGGTAAGTAATTACCTTTTTTTTGGTAACTTTGTTTTTAATGTTTTTGCATATATCTACTGCTTGTTAGCGAGCACTAGATAAATGCAACAAAACAAAATGAAGAGTGTTTAATTATCCTTTAAGTCTAATGAAGAAAAGCTGGCCACTGCAATGATTATCTCCAGTGTAATATGGCTTGTCCCAACCTCTCCAAATGCTACTTTTACTGGACAGCGTGGCCTGTTAAAGGAAGTGCAAAAAGAACAGATTAACAGGCCGATCAAGAGATGATAGACCATATGATTTATCTAGTTACAATGGCACCTGGAAGTGGGGGGGACATATTAGGCAGAAAGTGAACATTTTGTCCCTTGAAGTTGATGTGTTGGAAGCAGAACAAATGGACAAGTGTAGAGCTGCCCATACACCTTACAATCATCGCAAGACTTTTGTTGTGCGATGGTTGTAAGGCGATTAAAATTTCGTACGATTTGCTAGTCTTGGACAGTCAGATCCGTACTTGCGATCATCGCAAGCCCTCCCCACTGAGGGGAGGGCTTGCCGATGATTGCAATGCTGAGGGGGCAGTGTGCCCTTGCGCACAGTGGCCCTAGCGCCTTTCGTCTTGCGATCGCGTTACGAAGCACCCTATAAAACCTGCCGAAAATCGTACGGTTCTCAGCGGGTTTTCTAGCGTGCTCGTAAGACAAAAGTCGTGCGACCGTACAGTAAATGCGGCCGCACGCTGCGCATACACCTTCCGATTATCGTACGATCGAGGGACCACCCGCGATTATTGTACGATAATCGTCAGGTGTATGGGCACCTTAAGGATCTCAGCGGCATTGACAAGTGCCAAATTGTGATGTCTAGACGACTGGGTCAGAGCAACTACAAAACTGCAGCTCTTGTGGGATGTTCCCAGTCTGCGGTGGTCAGTACCGACCAAAAGTGGTCCAAGGAAGGAAAACACATGGAGAGCGAAGGCTGGCCCGTGTAGTCCGATCCAATCAAAAAGCTACTCAAATGGCTTGGTGACAAATACCACAGCATACCTTCAGAGGTCTAGTGGAGTCCATGCCTCAATATGCAACGTGTTTTTTTTTTGGCAGCAAAATGGAGACCTACTCAATATTAGGCAGGTGCTTGTAATTGTATGGCTGATCGGTGTATGTTTTATATGTCCATACTTGCACAACTAAAAAGACTGTGTATACCCAATGTTGATCACTAATAAGTCCCAGCACTATTAATATTAACTTGTGGGCAAATATCTGTCTTACCTGCCAATATAAAAAATACTAACAATGTCCACGCCTGCAGCCCAAGTCTATTGGAATGGCAGCAGGTCATAGGGCCCACTCACACCAGACACGGCACTAAATCGCACGGCATCTGGTGTGCGGTGACCCGCCACAGTGCAGATGCCGGAACATCACACTGTTTTTTGTTTAATTTGGTAGGACTTTATCGAAATCTTACGAGTGACATTTCATTTAGTTCTATGGGCACAGCGGGGTTGCGAGGCGGTTGTACTGCGCTGCATCCCGCAGCATGTTTTTTTCCAGCACACTCCACCGTGTTCCCAGGAACCGATCACATCTGTGACCAGGCAAACTGCCTTGTCTTGTGTCGGGGCTGCATTGGAAACCAAGGCCAGCACAGCCCCCAATGTACCTAGTGTGAATGGACCCTTAGAGTGAAATGCAGCTGCCCTGCACTGTGGGTAGAGAAGAGCTTGGTCTAATAAGTAGGGATGGATGGAGCTAGGTTTGTGTACCCATAGGGCTTGCTCGCTGTGATGTCACTGCTCCGAGGAGTAATAGTCCGGGGAACACAAATGATGCAAAGGTTGACCACGCAGCATTTTGCCAACCGACCTGCCGCGGTGACACCCGATTACAGGAAGTGAGGCTAAAGCCTTGCTGACGGGACAGACCCAAAAGGTCCCTCTTTTGACATTGCATTCAAACAATCCTTATTCATGCTGCATTATCTGTATATATATTTCTAGTCAGCACTGTTTTTTTAAATCTCACGGTCAGTTTCAATTGCCCATGTAAGTGACAGGTTTACTTCAACAAACATTCCTCAGCACTGATGACCCGAGTCTGACGCAGCCTTCAACTGAGGACATTTAGGAGTCAAAAGCTGTGGATCACCGAACAGTCCTTTCTAAGTACAATGACTTTAAGCCTATCCTAGAGATCCTCTTTTGGCTCAGGGGCTCCTGAACCAAAAGCACTACTCAGACTAATAAGGTGTTCATAAGCACATGAATTTCACTTCAGATGAATATAAACAATTGTTTTACACAAACACCTATTTTGTGTCTAAGGACAAACTGGCTGCCCTGTCCCTCAATGGAAATAATGGACAGGAAGTCTTGATATATGTAGCATAATAACACTCCCTGCATTAATCTTATTTCTGATATCTCCATTTCTAATAAACTCTGAAACATGTATGTATTGGTAGGTCTTAATATATCAGATATTGTGCCAGTTTCAAGACCTAAGTCTGGTCTAACAATGTGGCTTAGTGAAGTGTGAAATGTAAAACAGGTTCTTCCCACACCTTAATGGTGCTCAGGTCCATTGGATGCTTGATAATTTCGCAGTAGTCGTGCAGTCCAAGAGCTTCTACATCTACAGGTTTATAAAAAGGCCAAGCGTACGAGGTGTGTTTCTTAGACAGCATTTCGGAGACGATGCCGGTGCAATAGCGAAGTTGCTCGGAGATCTTGCTGTTGCTGTTTGCCTGAACAGGTTGGGCGATTATTGGGGTGTGCAGAGCAGGAGGCGCAGGAAGTTGAGAGTCAGGTACGTCAGTCTTCTTTGCTGGCCGAGGCTGCCGACCGCTCTCCCTTCTTGGTACAGATCTAGCAGGCTTCGAGTCACTGGGTAGGGGAGAGGATTTATGGAGGGGGTCGTGGGCTGTGGGGGTCGTGGTATCTGCTTTCCTCTTCACCCCTTTCTGTGGTGAAGAAAATATATATAAAAAAAGAAAAAGACACGAGGTCAGATAAAGTCATTTACATGTATAAATATATTCAGCAGAATAGCTAGCCCAGTCTCATCATCAGGTCTTGAAAAATTTTAGGGCGTCTCACCAGTCAGTCAAAAATGTCACCAGTCAGCATGACCGGACTATAGCCTTGCAATTTATGATAACATTTTTTGGGGACACCTTTTTTGGTGGACCGCTACATTATGTTATAAAACATTTATTACCCATATTTCTGGTATAATGTAAAACACGGGGTGAGGTCGGGTAAATGGACGCCAAACATGTCAAGCGTTAAAATTGCGTGCGCCCGCAAAAAAAAAAAGCGACCACACTGAAAATTGGCTGTAGGCGACGCTCCGACGTTCGCAGTGATATATAACATGTGCACCACAATAGGCGCAATCGTCGTTTTCACACATAGGTGCACCTGACACATGTTGGCGTGTTTATATGGTGGGGCGGGGGACTTTAAAAAAAAAAAAAAGAAAGAAGCCCAATATGCGATAGCCAATTTACATGACAGGTCCTCTTTATGGAGACATCAGGGGTCTCCAAGACCACTAATGTCACCTAGGGACCCCCAGAGAAACTGATGAAGCAGAGATCGACAGCAGAATGTGGATGTGATGTAATATACATTTGGGGAAAGAGAGGAGATCAGAGGGAGATTGTGTACCGATCTCTCTTTGAGCTCCTGTCACAGAGCAGCCGTGCCGGTCCCGGCCGCACCAGGCACAGCGGATCTCGGGACTGGCAACGGCAGTGACAGCTGCTGCCAATACAAGCGATCAGATGTCTCTAGAGACGCCCGATTGATGGAACGTAAAGCTCCCGGCCGGCCATTTAATTAAAACGGCCCGGCTGGAAAGCTACTCGTCTGGCTCCGCCGTCCTCTCATCACAGATGAGAGGATTATTCACACCCTGTTCATCATCCACAGCAGTCTAGAAAATGAAGGGCCAGTTTTAAGCAAACCCAGCTACAGCAAAACATGGGCCTGTGTCAGCACAACCCATGTCAGCCGTAAACAATGTAATTAACAACAGCCATTGGTTCCAAGGCACACATCAAAAAGGCCAACCTACTAAACAGTTCAACTCATTAAAAGGTATCTTAAGAATTGGCCTAACTGAACTCACCGTTCTTCTCACCTTTACGGGCTGGGTGGTAGTCGAGATGACGGGTGGAAGGCTCTGAACAGCCTGAACGGCAGGGGGTATTGTCGTGGGCACCACCATTTCCTGAGTGACAGCAGGCGAGTATGTAATGGGAGCTGGAGTAATAGCAGGTGCACGGGCAGGCGGGGTGCGGGTCTGTGGAGGGGTAGGTGCCCGGGTCACAACAGGAGGGGTTGGGGTCGCAGGTTTGGAAACAGCTGAAGAGTTAAGAAAATAGAAAATCAGGAAATATCAAGTGCCAAAGAGCAAAAAACTGTTTTATATATTGGTGGGCAACAGAGCATCAGCTTCTATCATTAGTAGGGATGCACCGATACCGGTATTTTGGTATCGAGTACAAGTAAGGATATTTATTTTCCGGTACTCGCCGATACCGAATACCGATACAGGATGTCCCATTTATGAAGCCAGGCGGCATGTAATGACTCGCCACACTGATTTCCCGATTAGCAGGAAAGCCGTCCCATCGGGAAGCCGTGCGCCGTGTAATGACGTGCAGCCCGGCTTCCTGATTGGCCGGGAAGCCGGCTCCATGCTCCCTCGTCATGAGGTGAATACTAGTATCAGTGCATCCCTAATCAGTAGCCACTTACGTGTCACAGGCGGCTTTATCACAGGCGGCTTTATTACTGGCGGCTTTATCACAGGCGGCTTTATCACAGGCGGCTTCGTCACAACTGGTTTTGTCACAGGCGACTTTGTCACAGGCTTCTCAGATTGGGATATTGATATTGATGGGACCCGTGTCCTCATAGGGGTGACGGAGGCATCTGGAATGCATACAAGACGCTCAAACATTTGTGGGTCTTCGAAAATCTTCAACTAACTGATTAGCGCCATTAATAATCTATAACCACCAAACTTCTAACTCTATCAAACAGAAAAGCATCACCATTCCTCTAATCATACTACTTAGTCACTGGAAGGACTCCCCATGTGCCCTAGTCACCTGGTTCCCGTCTCCCTCGGCCACGTCCTTTGCACTGAACAATCGGCAACTCTGATTCGTCCTGAGGCATCTCCGAGATCTTCTGCAGGAAAAGCTTCTCCAGGGCTTCAGCCATCAGAACAATGTCATCCCCAGGCTAGGAAGAAACAATGCATATGCACAAGTCAGGAAGATACCAACATGAATAAAACTGACCTTTCTACTCGGACATTATAAGGCCGTTTTTCATATAGTGACGTGTAAGTGGGTTGTCTATGAGAAGCTAATGGCCATAATAAAGAGGTTTCCTAAATATTAAACTACTAGAAACACAATAAAGCTGCACTATAAATGATTTTATTGTCAATAAAAAAAAAAAAAAAAAAAAAAACACACTTTGCATTCTTTGTGCATGCTCCATTACTATATGTACAAGATGTAATGTGCCTGACATGTTGGACATCGTGGCCTTAAGGCTGGGTTCCCACCTGGGCGGATTGAATATGCGCGTTTTTTTTACCGTGATTCGCGGTAAAAAAAAACCGTGTGGCAAACGCGCGTTTCCGAGGGTTACTTGGCTGTATCCCAATGGAACCGCCCGACCAAACCGCCCCAAAGAAGTACATGTACTTCTTTGGGCGTAGGGCGGTTTCCCGCGCGTTCGTACTCGCGGAAAACCGCACAGATGGGAACCATACACATTGAAAATGATGGCATTTCCCTGCTTGAGCGGTTTTCCGTGAGTACGAAAGCGCGGAAAACCGCCTAGGTGGGAACCCAGCCTAAGGGCAGTTCCAATATCCTAACCTCCCTACTGGGCCTTTGACATGATGGGTGATGTTACTGACCAACTGTGAGGCTTAGGCAGTTCAAAAAAGGGAGGAACTAAGCATTGCCTTTAACCCTTTCCTTGCTGCCGACGTAAGGCATACAGCGGAACACAACCGTTTCCAGCTGGCCTGTCACCCTTCTGCTATAAGGTCATATATAACAGAAGGGTCCCCCTGACAGTCCCCTGTAAATGTATAGTTATCAGTGGCTGAGAAGCCGCTGATGACAGCTATACATTAAAATTGTGGCCAATCCCCCACCGAAATTTGACAGCCTCTGGAGAGCTCTCCTTGCCGCCGGAAGCTGCTCCATGCTCCAATCTGTGTTCCCCTCTGATCCCCGAATCAGAGAATCAGACCGCTGCATATGAGTGGGGAGGAGAGCTGCAGTCAGATTCAGGATGGAGAGCGAGGCTGTGCGTGGCCGAGCGCTCAGATTCAGGATGGAGAGCAGAGGATCGGTAAATGTGAAATATTTACCAATCCTTCCCTGTACTAAGCATACACTGGAGTGATCACTGATCACTCCAGTGTTTGTAAACAACTGAGGACATAGCATGTGTACCCAGTTAAGAATTAACAGGAAGTGCTATACATCACTTCCTGTTCATTCATGAGTTTCTGAATGTAGAGGAGCACTCAGTACAGAGGCTACTGTCCATTCATAACTGGGGAGAGTACTAGTCCTCCTCAGTTATGAACAGGAAGCCTCTGTACTGAATGCTTCCTGTTCATTCAGAGCTGGGGCTGCAGGACTCTGTGTCCTCAATTTCCAAAGGGAAATGTCAGGGGCCTGTTTAGACTGCTGATATTTACCCGAAAATGTTCATTGATTGTGACAAAGTGTGATTTAGGGCCCATTCACACGAGATGCGTTAAGAATGCATTTTCCAGCACATTCACAATAAAAAAACAAAATGAAAATCAACCCCACCAGCTCACAGCAGCGTGCTGCGCTGCATTTAACCGCATTGAAAAAGAGTAGAACATGGTCTTTTTTTTCCAGTGCAACGCATACAAACAATGCTACATGCAGAAATAAAGTTGCTATAGGAAAAAAATACAAAAACTAAATAAAAAACCTCATCCAGCATAGTGCAACGCAGCTCAGCACACGTAAAAACACGTGTTTGCGCATGCAGCAAACTTATAGCACATAGCAACACGCCGCACTGTGATCGCATGTGCTATGGTGTGAAGACCTCAGCACTTACCTTATTATAAATGTAGCAGTTTGTAAACATTGTGTTGAAATCCTGGATACATTCCTGCGCATTACTATAATAATAGTTTTCCAGGCGCTTCTTGATGGTGCCCATATCCATTGGGCATTTGATAATTTTATAATAGTCCTAAAAAAAAAAGGAAAAAAAAAAACAAAAAAAAAAAACAAAAAATTATGATGTTAAAGAACACAAATCATCTTTTTTCTTCTAACTGCTTGGAGACGGCAACATGTCCATCTTTCCTCTTCCCCCCCACCATCTAATACACATACGTGTTATAATGGAGCTGGAAAGGACAGACGCTATTACTTTCACCTAATCTTCAAATAAATTTGACAGCAAGCCATTGGGCATTTGATAATTTTAAAAAAGTCCAAAAAAAAAAAGGAAAAAAAAAAACAAAAAAAAAAAACAACAAATTATGATGTTAAAGAACACAAATCATCTTTTTTCTTCTAACTGCTTGGAGACGGCAACATGTCCATCTTTCCTCTTCCCCCCCACCATCTAATACACATACGTGTTATAATGGAGCTGGAAAGGACAGACGCTATTACTTTCACCTAATCTTCAAATAAATTTGACAGCCTCTGGAAAAAGGATTTTTTCCAAAACATTTTTTTAATTTGGATTTTCAAAAATAACAAAAACACGATCAGTGCAACAATAGGACAATGAAAAGGCAACAGGACACTCAATGTACTCAAGCGAGGAGCGGTGCTGTCCCTGTAAACAACACAATAGGGCATCACAATGTACTAGAGGCTGCTGCAGTGAGAAGGAATAGAGGGGAAGGGAAAGGAGACAAGAACAGGAATGAGGGAGAGGTAAAGCCATACACCACTATAAATTAAGGGGACCACATTGTCCCCTTTCTGGTGAACGACTGCAATGTTCCGCTGTAATCTCTCAAATTCATGGTGTAACTTCAAGGTTTGGTAAATAAATACGATTTTAAGAAAACATATACTGAGAGAAATGGGTTGCTCTCATTGCGGACCCCCCCGCCCCCCAGAAAACGCTACGTGATTTATTTATTTTATTTATTACAGGTATTTATGTAGCACCGACAATTTACGCAGCACTTTACATAGTTGCACATTCACATCAGTCCCTGCCCCCTACCCCTAAGGTCCCTATCTCACATGCCAACTAACCTACCAGCATGTCTTTGGAGGGTGGGAGGAAACCGGAGTACCCGGAGGAAACCCATGCAAGCACAGGGAGAACATGCAAACTCCTTGCAGATAGTGAACTGGCCAGGATTCGAACCGGGGACCCCCAGAAGTGCTATCCACTGCGCCACTGTGCTGCCCTGTCGGAAAAATTTTCTGACTCATGGAGCAAATGAAGTCAGAACTCCTGATCTCCATACTGGGCTACCGAGTCAAAGTATTGAAGCCAGAGGATCAGTATGAAAAGCCAGACAGACAAATGGCAAAAAGTAGTGGGCAATGCTGCTCCCCTCATGTCTCTCAGCATATGGGAGGAAGGAACAAGACAAGACGACTGCCATGACTCTTCCCCCTTCATGTCAGACATAACTATTTCTTATAATGAGGGAGAGAAAGCTACACAAGACTTGGATTCAAAGTGAGGGAAATCCTGTGCTGGGTTTAAACCTTTCCCTTCCCTACTCCATCTGATCTGGATAAAAGAAGTTGCATTGTACACTAGACAAGTACTGAAGAGAGGGTACCAGTAACATTTAAAGAAGAACTCCGGGATACACATCACTTTATATATTTAGGTTTCTTTCAGTCGGAAGACGCAAACTGCTGTAACCCTTTATCATACAACTTCTTACGATTCTTGGAATGCTTGTATTTAGCTGCCAGTGATGTCACATCCTCCTAAGTACAGATCAGTCCTTCCTGCAGCCAGGGGTAGGATCTAGGTGACCAGTGTGTGTCATATCCTGGCAGAGAAAGCAGACTACATCTCCCGTGAGCCATTGCAAAATAGAGGAAGAGGGAGGCGTGTACAGGCAGAGCTGATCCACGATGGGAAGAGCTACAAAATGCTGTATGCTCCAGTCACTAGGTTTTTTCCTGACTACACATACATATTATAGGGGTCTCTGCATGACACATTCCCCTGCTTCAGGGCCGGTTCACACCACAAGGTCCACGTTCCAGTGCATTCGGCTGGCTCCCTGCGTTCAGGGGCGTGGCGGTGCATTGCAGTCAACGCCCCCTCTCGCTGCAAGCGACCAGAGAGAGCTCAGACCCTCCCTGCAACCAACCAGAGAGAGCTCAGTGCCTCCCTGCATCCAAACAGAGAGCTCAGTCCCTCCCTGCAACCGACCAGAGAGCTCAGTCCCTCCCTGCAACCGACCAGAGAGCTCAGTCCCTCCCTCCGACCCACCAGAGAGCGCTCAGTCCCTCCCTGCAACCAAAACCAGAGAGAGCTCAGTCCCTCCCTGCAACCAACCAGAGAGAGCTCAGTCCCTCCCTGCAACCAACCAGAGAGAGCTCAGTCCCTCCCTGCAACCAACCAGAGAGCTCAGTCCCTCCCTGCAACCAGAGAGCTAACAGTACACTGAGAATCACAAACTTACAACAGTTCTCAGTCAATAGTAAAGCAGACACTGAATCCGGGGGAGATGAGAGACGATGACAGAGTGTGAATGAGAGGAGATCCTCATTTAGATTGAGTCCGCTCCTGAGCTTCAGATCACTTGTCAGCAGACTCAGCGAGTGATCTGATGAATCGATTCATGTAAAAGATCAGAACTTCCCCTCACTAGTGTGGAAGAGCAGTGTGACTTTACACAGAGTTCAAGCTCCGCCCAGTCTCAGGGAAGGAGGTGTGACAGCAGAGAGCTCTGCACTGAGTGGGTGGGGTCAGACCAGCAGTCTAAGGCTTTCCTACTCCGCCCACTGCAGTGCATGCTGGGATGCGATCTCTTCCTGCTGTCTGCAACAGAACTACAAGGAGGAGGTAATAAGGCCACAGGCCAGGCTGATTGACCACTAGCCACTGTGCAAACTCAGGCCTCTTTCACACCAGATGCAGTGCGTTCCGGTCTGATTCTGTCCAGAACGCACAGCCTCGCATTGCGGCTGGCTCGCTTTTTTTGTGGGGAAGGAGGGGGCGTGGAGGTCCATTGAAGCGAGTTATGCTTGGGGTCCGGTGCGAAACAAAATGCTGCAAGCGCTATTTTTTTTTCACACCGGACTGGACTGCAGACATAATGTGCCTTGTGATCCCATGCGGCCGATCGCGTTGGGGCCTGAGGGCGTGGCTACAGTTCCTTTCACTTCAATGGACCGCCATACCCCCTCCTACCCCACAAAAAAGTGAGCCGGCCGCAATGCGAGGCAGTGCGTTCTGGCCAGAATCGGGCTGGAATGCACTGCATCTGGTGTGAACGAGGCTTCACAGAAAGGAAATGAAAGGGGCAGAGGGCAGGAAAAACAAACACTGGATTTCTGGAAGACCATACTGCTATGCAGAAAAGGAAGCATAGATTTTTAATACTCCCAGAAGCTAGTTGCAGTTGGCTGAAAAAAAAATATTCCCAAAGTTCTTCTTTGACAGTTTCTTGTAGACAGAAGAAGCAATCATTTCCCAGGTAGCTGCCCAGAAAAATGACCGGGAGAATAAACGTTTGGCTATAGATACAGGACTGAGATTTTACCAAAGACAATGACAAAGGTGAGTATATGATCAGTCCTAAACTAGATTTGAACAATGTCTGTCCTAACAAAGGTTTAAAACTCTGAAAGCATTGAATGTTAATGAGGGGGGGGGGGG